AATTTTAAAGAAGGGCGATGGCCTTGAGATATCATCGCTGACCCCAAGGAATTCAGAACGAATGTATTCTGGTTATCTGCTTGAATCTGCACTCGAACTTCGGTCTGTATTTCAATTTTCAACAGTTCATAGGTGTACCAACTGGGCTAGGCCCGCTGGTACGCCAAGTTCTGCACCTCGGCCCACCGGAGCAAAATGGCTGGCGGGTTCATTTTTTTTTTGGGGCGCTCGGGGCGTTTCCAGGGTCGGAATGAAGTTGTCCATCCAAAAGTACTGGTGGTTTAATGATCTTTCAGTGGCACACAAGAAGGGGAGGGTTGTGATGTTGGGCCTATAATATGAGGAAATGAGGGTCTGGTAGAGAGGAGTAGCCGATTTCCTCTTGGATATATGACGATTCTAGACTGGGATGAAGCTTCCTAATTCCGGCCAGCTTTATTATGGCCTTATTGGGCCTGAGTCCCAGTTTCAAGGGATATAGCTCCATGGAAGTTAACTTATCATGCTGCGGATTTTGAGTTTGAACGTATGAAATGCGAACTTATATTGTGTCGAAACTTCCAACAGTCCGTTTAAGATTTCCATCCACATGGACGTAAGCGCATGGGCCTCTGATTTTGGCATGCGTAAAACAAACTTGGGGTGTGAGTAAGGGGTTTTGCACCTTGGGGTCTTGCATCCTGAAAACGGGCTAAGGGCTCTGGCCATATTAAGCCCCCTCACCCTTGTGTTTACTCATTGTAATGGGTTCAATCGACGTAGTAAGTGCAGAATGAGGAGCAGACTTAACAACAGGAGCAGCAGCAGAGCTTCCCGTTGAAGTTTGATGCTCAATCGCACAAATTTGGCAAAGTTTAGTGCTTGAGGAAGCTGGTGAGCTGGAGTATCTGGTGCGCTATTGCGAATTGTTTCTGTGGTGAGTCAAGTTGCTTAAGGTGATATCTACTTGACATATGTGAGCCAGGTTAGGTTGTTGGGGGATGGACATCTGCTTCTGAGTTATTGTGGGGCTAAAGGGAGGGCGGGGGCTTTGTTGAAGCTCTGCTTATTCAGCTACTGGAGGGAGTGTGGCTGTGGCATTGCACCTGGCTGGGGTAGCCGGCTTATCTTTGTCGGTATGAGGATGCCGGCAAGGGAGGTCAGCTTTGGATGATGAACATGCCAGTTGTGCAAGGAGCCACCAGCTTCCCGGGGAGCTCATACTTGGGTGTTTTCTGCTAGTGTCAGTTGGCTGCTTGGAGTCTGCAGTGTGTGGTGCACTCTGTGAAGAGTAAGTGAATTCTCTCTCTCTCTCTCTCTCTCTCTCTCTCTCTCTCTCTCTCTTGGCGATGGGGAGAATAGGTGAACTCACACTCTCATTTCCACTGGGATGGGTGTACTTGCATGGCTGCCATGTCAGCAATGGTGCATTACACTGTGGAGTTTTAGGATGGCGTTTTATGTTTCGACTCCACACAATATTAGAGGATCTGATTTGCACCTGATCTGCACCTGGTCAGCGGCTGGTTCAGACACAGGTCCAAACTCGGGGGCGGACTCAGGTTCAATCAGACTCAGGTCAATATGGTCCTCAGACCAATGATGCTTGGTTTGCACATGATCTGCTGTTGGTCCAGGTTTAGGTTCAGACTCTGTTTCAGACTCTGGTTCAGTCAGACTGAGGTCCAATCAGACTCAGGTCACGGCGGTCCTGATCTGGCACACGCTTGGCGAACTGATTCTGTTGCTTGCCAAATTTCTGTTCTTGGAATGAATAGAGAGCGCGCGCGCGCGCGAGAGAGAGAGAGAGAGAGAGAGAGAGAGAGAGAGAGAGAGAGAGAGAGAGAGAGAGAGAGAGAGAGAGAGAGAGA